CAAATGCCATATTTGTCTGATAAAAATGGTATTAAATAAATTCTATTTCCAGTGCAATTAAATAAATAGTGTAAAATTATTTATATTGTTATTATATTTCGAAAATACAACTAAAAAGAATGTACACCCCCGCTTGAAAGATCTTGGGACAAGTGCCATATTTGTCTGATAAAAATGGTATTAAATAAATTCTATTTCCCGTGCAATTAAATAAATAGTATATAATTATTTATATTTCGAAAAAATAATTAACCTCTTGCGCTGGAATGACGTGCCACGCACGTCGAGAATTTTTTGTCCCAAAATTTTGTATATTTTCTCAGTTTTGAGTATATTTAAATACAACCCAGGCAAAAGGAATAATAAGTTTATTATTATGATGAATTCAGAAAAAAAGCATTCAACGAATTATTGTATACGGTTTGGTCACTCGTTATGGTCCGTGAAAGCCAGTTACCCAGCGCAAGGGGTTAAATATAAAATTCGCCTGATAACTGGTTGCTGATGGCTGATGGCTCGTCGATGGGATGTGACGACCACCCAAAAATTTCGATCGTGAATTTTGTGAATTTTGACACGGAAAATACGGCTGGTGGAGGAGGGGGAGGGGGATGGGGAAGGGGGAGAAACACGCGGTAAACAACTGTATTAAAAGCGATGGCTGTCTCCGTGCAACGACGGCCCTGCTCGCGGCCTTGCTGGCTAATGATAGTCTTGCTAATGATACGTTCGCACACGCACACGTGTGGCCGTATAACGCGTGACTATTTCGCCTAGCGGCACACACCGTGGCTTGTTTCTGGCTAGGCGTCGTCGTCCAAGCCAGAAACATTTTGACAATAAACACGCACAATCATCGGGCAGACTATTAATGCCACTGTGTGCTGGCCAAAGCACCAAGCCGAATCCTATTTAAGTTTTGCAGGGAGTCCCCGACCACCACTCCGAATCCGCGTTTCGTTTCGACGATGCCGAACTCTTTTTCACGCCGACGGGCGAAAATTGAAATGAAATTCCCCCGTGATAAAGCAAGTGAAATGATCAAAGTAGACTTCACGCAGTATAAGTTAAAGTCAAGTCAATCAAACGACTTTGTGATTAAATTAAATGAAACGATGTCTTTACAACGTGATCGAAGATGTGATGATAAATTAGCACAAGCTTCGCGATTCAAGTCGTTCAAATTCTTCGAAACTCACTATTTTAATAGTTTCGTGTCCTGTAAAATTTCTAACGAAAGTTATCGACTTTTTCGTTATTGGCCACTTTGGTCATTCAACGTGTTAAGTAATTAGAGATACACTCGATTGAGAAAAAGCGAAAATTTCGAGTGAAAACAAAGCCGAGGAAAAACAAAACTTACTCGACGTAAGATCTCGTCGACTGTCCAGAGTGGATAATTCAATGGGCAGATCTTCCAACTCTGTTTCAATTTCTGTTAAATCAAATCCGAAGAAAAAAAAAAAAAAAGGGGGGGGG